TCAAGAAAACGTCAAAATTCTGAAAAATACCCAAGACTATAGCCCATGGGTTTTTTCCAAAAAATGGCTCCGAAATCACCCCAAATTTTTATTACATTTTCTGATACATATTGATGTACTTATGCTGTGTAGAAAGTTTGAGATGATTCCGACTCTAATTTTTCAAGTTATGGCCATTTTAAGAAAACGTCAAAACTCTAAAAAGTACCCAAGGCTATAGCCCATGGTTTTTTTTTAAATGGCTCCAAAATCACCCTAAATTTTTATTACATTTTCTGATACATGTTGATGTCCTTATGCTGTGTAAAAAGTTTGAGCTGATTCCGATAAATATTTTTCAAGTTACGACCATTTCAAGAAAACGTCAAAATTCTGAAAAATACCCAAGGCTATAGCCCATGGTTTTTTCCAAAAAATGGCTCCGAAATCACCCCAAATTTTTATTACATTTTCTGATACATATTGATGTCTTTATGCAGTGTAAAAAGTTTGAGCTGATTCCGATAAATATTTTTCAAGTTACGGCCATTTCAAGAAAACGTCAAAATTCTGAAAAGTACCCAAGGCTATAGCCCATGGTTTTTTCCAAAAAATGGCTCCGAAATCACCCCAAATTTTTATTACATTTTCTGATACATATTGATGTCCTTATGCTGTGTAGAAAGTTTGAGCTGATTCCAACTTCAATTTTTCAAGTTACAGACATTTTAAGAAAACGTCAAAATTCTATAATAGCCCATGGTTTTTTCCAAAAAATGGCTCCGAAATCACCCCAAATTTTTATTACATTTTCTGATACATATTGATGTCCTTATGCTGTCTAGAAAGTTTGAGCTGATTCCGACTTCAATTTTTCAAGTTACAGACATTTTAAGAAAACGTCAAAATTCTGAAAAGTACCCAAGGCTATATAGCCCATGGTTTTTCCAAAAAATGGCTCCAAAATCATCTCAAATTTTTATTACACCTCATGCACTATAACATTTCCCATCACAATACACATACACTGTACAATACAGTGCATACTCATACCTAGTACATTAATGGTTCCAATGGTGTTGCTCTTAATGGTCTTCACTGGATTATACATATACTTCACTGGAGAGGCTGGGGACGCCAAATGGTATATCTGATCAACTAACAAAAAATGATAATAATAATAATAGATTAAAATACCTTCTATCATTAGTGGTTCAACAACATCATGATGCAGCAGTTCAAAATTAGGATGGCCAATCCTGTCAAATTATGAAAACAAAAAAGCATGTACTCCATTACACATTACAACATGTACACAGTATAACCTCCTCCTATTGTGGACACTCTAAAATAAGGACACCTCTATAATGAGGACAGGTAGTATCAGTCCCAATACAATAGTAATGTGTATTAATGAACCTCTGAAATAAGGACAGGTTCATAATCAGGAGCTAGGGTATTATTGGGTCCCAAGGTGTCCGGAATAGACAGGATTGAACTTATTAAATTGTACTTACCAGTGCTGTACGTTCCTTCTCCTCCCAGTGAAGTAGTTATCAGCTACAGTGACCTCGTGTCCTTGCAACATTAACTGATCCACTAAATGAGACCCAACAAACCCAGCACCTCCTGTCACTAGAATCCTCTTTCGCTGGTCCTCGTTTAAGTTCTTCACTTTTGGGTATGTGTTCTGTGATACTGGGGGAGTGTATGTTCCTTTCGTTTTATATATACTGGCACTAATAATAATAATAATAATAATAATAATAATAATAATAATAATAATAATAATAATAATGTTAATTAATTAGTGACATACGTTTGCTCAAGGTTGGTCAATCTTCGTTCAATATTGTGGTTAGCCTATTAATAATAATAATATAATAACTGTTAGATACAAACGTATGAATTGAGAGACCAATCTAACTAAGAATGGTATATTTCAAGACGCCATAGGCCAAATATGGGAGACCAAAACTCTCCTAAACTCCCTCTAGATCTAACAGTGATAATATTGATATCATTGGTGGGAAATTGACACTTGACAGATTACAGTCCATTCATTGTAAGTTTTGGCACACACACACTACACACTCATACACTGTACATTGTAAGTATTGGCCTCTTGCCAGTTCGACTAATTACAGCTGGTAGTGTTAAAAGGTTTTTTGCAAACTGTTACATATTTGGTGATTAGGAGATTTTAATTTGAGGTCATGTACATGTCAAAACAATAGGTTTTTATTATTTGGCAAATGGCTGTCAATCAGAGTAAAATTTATATGCTTACATTAGAAAGGGTGATATTTAATAATTAATTTAATAATTTTGTATAATTCCACATAAACTATTAATATCCAATATTAATGCATACGTAATGTACAATTATTAATAATTAACAACACTGTGTGGGTGGACATGAGCAAACAAATATATTTATATACAAATTACTCATTATTAATTGTTTATTAGCTTTGGCTATT